GTCAAGATGCCCTGATGGCTGAGAGCTCGACGATCTTGAATCAGCTGGCTAGGGTTTTGGAGTCCGAGAGTGGATTCAGCAAGGAGAATGCTTGTGTTGCCCTAAAAAACCTAACTTTGGTTAAAGAGAATGCGATCTTTATCAGTTCGAGAGGCGGAATCGCTTCTCTCCTCGAAATTTGCGGGTCGGGGACGCCTTCTGCGGTCGCGGTTGCTGCCGGAGTCTTGAGGAATCTCGCCGGAGTTCAAGAACTCAGGCAGAGTTGTCTAGAAGAGAATGCGGTTCCTGTGTTGATTAGGGTTTTGAAGTCTGGGACTGTGATTGCTCAGGAGAATTCGATGGGTTGTTTGTGTAATTTGGCTGCAGGGACTGATGATGATTACTCGATCAAAATTGCTATTTTTAAAGAAGGGGTTTTAGATTGTATGATGGATTACATGGAAGGTGATCGAAATTCACAGCCTTGCTATTTTTAAAGAAGGGGTTTTAGATTGTATGATGGATTACATGGAAGGTGATCGAAATTCACAGCCGGCGATTGGGTTATTGAGAAATCTTAGATTGTATGATGGATTACATGGAAGGTGATCGAAATTCACAGCCGGCGATTGGGTTATTGAGAAATCTAGCTTCTTTAAAGTATATCTCAGATATCATTCAATCATCTGAACTATTCATAAGAGTAATCCTAGAGTTGGATAGTTCAAGCCCAGGTACAAGAACAGAGGCAGCAAGGGCCATTACTGAGCTCAATTCGAAGTCAAGAAAAGAGATTGTAAACGCAATTCCTAAGCTTGTGAGGATGATGGAAGCAAAGGGGTCGGAGGAAAAGGAAGCAGCCGCGGAGGCTTTGGCTTCGATATTGAAGTCTTCATCGGGGATGAAGAGAGAGTTTAGGAAAGAGGAGAGGGGGATTGTGAATGCTGTGATGCTTCTTGATCCTCTGGTGGGCGATGTTGAGAAGAAGTATGTGATTGAAGTTTTGCTCTCGGTTTCTCAGTCGAGGAAGTCTAGAAGGCAAATGGTGGCTCTTGGGGCTTGTGTGTTCTTGAAGAGGCTTGCCGGGATGGAGGTTGAGGGAGCTAAAAAGCTTCTTGAATGCTTGGAGAAAGGAAAGTTTCTGGGGGTTTTCCCACGAAATTGATGGCTGGCAATTGAATTCAGGGGCCTTCGATGAGCTGTATGTACAAATAACCGCTGTTTTCGATTTCTCATCCTCTTGTTGATTTGTGTAGAATACTACAGATATGTTTGATTTTGTACATGTTTTGCATGTTAATTATGTGTATTGGGGAAAAAGATTTGTAGTGGCTCATGGGCTTTTTGAATATCCTGTTAACACTTTGAATAAGCAGGAGAATGTTCGGAAATCGTTTCTCTTGATTGTTGTTGTAATGCGTTTGTATCTTATGTATGATTTGATTCATTATACTTCTATCATACATGCAATGCGCACTTTATTTTTATTCCTCTCTTGTTAATTTTCTGCGGTAATAATCTTCCAAATGCGAGAACAAAAACCTATTCAAGGACAGGAGTGCTGTGGTCCTTTAGTTTCTGGTTGATATCAGTATTGTGCAACTTGGTTTACTTATCATGCGTTTGGTTAAATTATATAATCGATGGCAAGAATGCTGAATAGATAGGTTTTGCTAATGTTATTCCATCAATCAACTGGATTTTTGTAGTGCATATACTTCATCTCATTTAATCAGAATCGAACCCAGTTGTCTCATTGTCACCACAAAATCTGTTTGTCATTGTTAGTACAGATACGAGCAACTGTCAAGTGCTTGGGTTGAGCATACAGAATATTTTGGAGAGAATTTTTCTTTTTGAAAAGTAATTCATGTTGTGTATGGACATCCTGTTTTTGCAGGGAAATAGGTTTGTTTTTTTATATATATATTTTATATTTTATATAGCTATTCTAGTAACTGTCAAGGCAATAGAACTATTAGGCTATTCACCGAAATAGCGAAGCTTTTACTCTTTTAGCAGGGAATTAAAAAGAAATGACCTATTAGGCTTAAATTTTCTGCTGCTTGTAATGGTTGTGAATGATCAAACCCTATTCATACTCTTCAATATCCTTGACCCTTGGAGTTCTATACCTTATTATATATTCTCGCTGCGAGACCCGCGCATCTTTCTTTCTTCTTTCTTCTTCTTCTTCTTCTTCTTCTTCTTCTTTTCAAAATTTCGTCATCTTATTGAACTTTTTCCAGTAACAGATCAGTTATTATTTTTTACCATTTGTCGGCAACAATAGGAATCAACAGAATCTATAGGATGATGTCTTTTAGTTTTGTCTGAAGACAAAATTTGAGTGTGACTATGATGTATGAACTATGAACCAACGATCAAACCTGGAAAAGGAAAATGGAAAGGGGATATTTTCTTCTTGATAGATAATAATGTTTAAATGTAGGGAGGTGATTACAGTTCAGCACGCACTGTAGAATAGGTCTTGTGAGACTAAATAAATCATTATTGTTGGATGTACTTGGAATCATAGTAGGCGCAGAAGCACATGGCATAGAAAGGCTAGCATTCCTTGTAAGAAGATTCCTCACACTGACTTAATTAAGTTCTAATAATAGCCCTGGAGCACATTCACTACCCGAGTATGAAGAAAATTTTGTTTTAAACCCAATCCAACCTTTTTTTTTTAACCGACCGACACCCTTTTTATTTTTAGGGATCGACCCACTTCTCGGTCACGTCAGCAACGTGGCCGCGAAGCGGGTCGATTTTTTTTAATCTCGTCGTTAAATAGTCGGGGTTGTCAACCCCGACTAATTTTGCTACTGTAAAAATAGTCGGGGTTGGCAACCCCGACTATTTAGCGACGAGATTAAAAAAAATCGACCCGCTTCGCGGCCACGTTGCTGACGTGGCCGAGAAGTGGGTCGATCCCTGTAAATAAAAAAGGAGTCGGTCGGTTTTAAAATAAAAAGTGGGAATGAGTTTAAATCAAAAATTTCTTCATCTGAGTATCTTTAAATTGAGAGCCTCAATCTTTATCATCTCTCTCTTCCTTATTCTTCAATGGTGGTGAGTTACGAACCGCTGAGTTATTGCAAGAACTTGAAAACTTTGAAAGGTACAACCTAGCTAATAGCCTCTTGATCCCTGTCGATTCTTTTCTAGATTAGTTAGAGCAGGTGTTCCTTTTGACATAATCATGGTTTCCCACCAGCTAGGTCACTAATTAATCAAGGCATTTATCTAATCACAAAAACTTACATAGAGCTCATAGGCTCAAGATATGATAGGAGCTAAAAAATTTTTTGGAAGAGATGAAATTTGCGAGTCAGTCTAGCTGAGCCTCCTAAACTAATATCCGCCAATCCTTTAGACTAAATGCCCAATTTCCATCAAAATAAAACAAGAGCAAAAGATACACAATTTTCTAGGGAAATTTGCTTCAAGGCCCCAAATTTTAATTTTTAATGTGTCTCAGCCCCCCTAACTTTGAACAATGTGCTGCAGCCCCTTTTTTTGAAAAAATTGTGCTCAGGCCCCTCTTCCCAAGTTCCAATGCAAGCTCCATCCAAAATTACAATTTTACTCTCCTCTTCCTTCAGTCCTCCTCTACCGCCTCCCCCACCTCCCTCCCCCGCTCCGCTCCCCCCTCCTGTGCCCCGCCATCCCTTCCCCTCTCGCATCACCTCCCTACACCCCTCCTCCTCCTCCGGCCCCTCTCTCCCTCCCCCCTCCCTCCTCCTACTCCATCGTCGTGTATTTCGAGGAACTTCGCGTGGGCGGCGGCGGTCATGGTTATCATGTTAACATGTTAACTGTAAGAGTTAACATGTTAATTGTAAGAGTTAACATCCGTTGGCATGGGAAAGAGAATGGTAAATTTAGGATTTAAGCCACCTGGCATGTCTAATCATCCGCTGGCATGAGCTAGAATCATGATAGAGGGGTCTGGACATAATTTTTTTAAAAAGAATGAGCTGCAGTACATTAAAAAAAATGGGGGCTGGGGCACATTGAAATTTGGGCCTTTGACACAATTTTCCCTATTTTCTATTA